CATTCAATCCGTTTCCCCGTCGGCTTGCGAAAATAAAACGAAATCCATTTACGTAACTGCAGGAAGTCGATCGAAAATAATAATAATCGCGCCGCGTGGGTACGACCGGAATCAGTCAAATTTTAAATAGATTTGTCAAAATTGGGGGTGTCAAGTTTTGCGGTGTAATTTTTGTTGGTGGATGAAGAGGCGGTGTTAAATGCCTCTGACGGCCGCCGAATCTCTAGCGATCACTTTGGCCATCTGCGGCAGCGTTCACATCCTGCTGGCGATCCTCGAGTCCATGGAGAAGGACGACGGGATCGATTACAGGCCTGTGATGAAGGAGATGGCCAAGGAGACGTTCCTACGCGCTGGAAGCGCAGAGCGCGCCAGGATAACGCCGTACTTCCATTGATCATCATCAGCACACACACACACATCGAGAGGAAGAAAACGAAATTCCACGTGCCTTCGAAATTCCATTGACTTAGCGGTATATAACCCACATTCCGACGATGGTCTCTCACTCTTTTCCAATTGGCATTGGCCGCCCGTTCCGGAATCGCGAATTCCAATTCATTCATTCGCGCGAGCACGTTGCATTATTAATTTATTTATTGTCTTTACGAAAAATCTGACCCTATTCCTCCGACCAAGAAGTGTGTTACGAAACATTTTCATTAACCGCCGCGTATTCATTAAATTTTCCATAGATCTGTGTTTTGTGCAATGAAATTCGCTTACATGTTATTAATTGACAACAACAACTTTGCTTTAATTAAATTTGTTAAATTTAACAATTCACATCTAAAATGAAGATATCCAAGAGATGTTAAGTGTTATTAAGTGAAAACAAACTTTGCCTTAATTAAATTAATCTTGCAGTAAAAATTCTTGTGTTTGTTATGTTTTTTTTAGTTAAAGTGTTATCGTAAATATGCGTATCAAATGGATGCGGGTTCAAGAAACTCGGATCTAGTGTTACGTAAGAGATGCGAGAGGTGTTGGGTGTTATTAGCAGCCGTCCTTTTGTTCGTTTCTCCTCCTCCAGACGACAAATGTAGGATTTCCACCTGAGCGAACACAGTACTCTTTCTTTCGCTTTTTTCCTGTTCTTGTAAAGTTATAATTTAGAAAAATTATGAAAGTGGAAACGATTCACTCTCTACCATCTTCATCACAGTTGGTTTCGTCATCGTTTTTCTTAACAATGAAATTGGATGTGATATTAAAAGGAAATTTGTAAAAGAAATGCGACACTTTTATCTACTAATAAGATTTTAATTTATAGCAGTTTCTACTTGGTGAATAATTGAATAGTTTTTCACTGTTTAATACAAGAAGATTGAACTTTGAAAACTCAAGATTTAGACACAAGTATTATATTTACAAGTATAGGATAACTCAAATTTCAGTTATTGAACTTTAAAGACATACAAGAAATTTATTTTTTTGAATACATTTATTGCAATTAATTCTAGTTCAAATTATCTTTTAAGAAAGTTACTCCAATTATAAAAGAATTGAAACAATGTTCAATCAATTGAGAAATGAAATAATTCTGCTTACAGTGTCGAGAAATTATGGTTTTCCGAACAATATTAATATTTTCTGCAAACGGAAGAACCGCTAGGTCTAAGTATTCCTTCCTTCAGAAGTTTACGAGCATTTTCTATTTGCATACAAGAAAAGAAAAAACTTTCCAATATTCCTGGAACCCAGCTATAATCACTTGCAAAATGCTCGTCCGCACTTTACTTCCAACCAGCATTCCATTGTTAAAATTACTTCAATTGTTTTCAGCGCATTCTTCAATTTTGAATTATTTTTGATAAACTTAAACATTTTTTCTTCTTTAATTTAGTATTATTAATATGTAGCTTAGTGTTTTCAACGCGATCTTCAACTTATTTATGATACGTTTTTCAAAATCAATCGAAATTTAAATACTGCTTTTCTCTTCTTCTCTTGTAATTGAGTATTATTAACCCTTTATAAAAACACATCTTTAATCATAAAAAAAATATTTTACCTGCTTTTTTTTATTATTCAACATTTCCTACTATTAAAAATACATCTAGCTTCAATTCACATGAGTTGCTTCCAACAGTTTTAATCGTCGAAAAACAAAAATTGCATTTAAAAATTAATGATTCCAGTTAATATGTTGCTTAGTGACGTTAGTTAGATGTTTAGCAGTGATATAAATCTAGTTTATGTGTGTTATTTCCATGGAAACGCAGAAAAGACCTTTAATGACGGAAGCGAACGTCCACTCGAGCCGAAGGAACACTTTTAT